TTCCCGCTGCAGCGCTTGCGTCATTTCCCGTGCCATGCCACGGCATGCAATTCATTGCTAGGTTGATACTACGCTTTGCGGTGCTCTTCTACGCCATGCCATGCCGTGCTCTACAATGCATCGCACACCCTTTCGGGATCATTGCCCTGCTCGACATCCGACTGTGCGAGTAGAGAGGGGATATGCGCCATGGTAAGGGATGGGAGGGAGGGGTAGAATGTCAGATATGACGCGAGCGCGCCTAGCTTGCCCCCCCTCTCTCCTTTCCCCCCCCCCCTCGCGTGTCAATTCTTTCGTCGTTGGCGCCCCCCCCCCCCCCTTGCAGAGCGAAGCTTGAGCGAGCCCCCCCCCCCCCTCTCCTTCCCCCCCTCCCCCTCGCGTGTCAATTCTTTCGTCGGTTTTCGTCGCTTGCGTCCCCCTCCGACCCCCCCCATCCAGAGCGAAGCTTGAGCGAGCTCAAGTCCACGCTCTCAGAAACTCACACGCCAGATCGGCGGATTTTGATCCTGGGCCATCTTGGGGGCACTGTCGGGTCAACCTGAGCCCATCTTGGGGCCATCGCTCGTCCAGAAGGACCCTCTGACACCTGTCTCCCCCCTCCCAGACGAAGGCGGACCCATGGGGATGGACTTCGCCCGATAAGGCGGGCGCACCCCTCCAGTCGACCCCTGGCCATGAGACCAGCGTGACCCTCCCTTCAGGGCGGTCCGAGGCGCTCCCAAGATGGCCCAAGGTGACCAGGGAAAACCAAACGAGACGAGTCCAGGCCAGACCAGACCAGGCACGACAAAACGAGACCACACCCGACAAGACACGCCGAGACGCCAAGACAGCTTCCAGGTCGCTCCATGAAGCCCCCAGAGGCGCCCCAAGAGGACCCCGAGATGCCAACTCTTGCACACGGACTTCTGGGACATCGATTGTTTCGGCCCTCTCTCCCTTTCGCTCCGGAAGAAATGTTCAGGCCACAGGGTGGCCTCAAGAGGGCCCCAAGACAGGACCAAGAGGCCCAAGACAGCCCCAGAGGCCCCGAAGAGGGCCCACGCTAGACACAAGAGGGCCCTCCGAGGGCCCCAAGATGTTCCGAATCAAGAACAGGCCCAACCATGAAAGTTGTAGTTTGCCCCACAATGGCCCAAGAGGATCCAGGAGGCCCCACTGAGGCCCCCGGATGCCCCCAGTAACCTCCCAAGAGGCGCCCCAGAAGCTCTTCAAAGGCCCCTAGTAGGCCTCGAGGAGGCGCTCAGAAGGCTTCGCTAGGGGGGAAGTCGTCTGGCGTGTGGGGTGCCCCCCTCCCCAAAGGGGAACAGGGTTGTAGGTTTGTAAGAACTGAACCTTAAAACGCCTACGCTCAGAAGCCTGGTGAGATATTGTTTCCCCCTCCTGCGTTGCTAAGTGGTGAATGGCTTTCCGCCCCCTGCCCTGTCTCGAGACAAGTACAGAAATCAATGTTTTTCATGCTTTTTCAGTTGCCGCATGGCTAATTTGAGTAGAGTGGTCTGTTCTCCATTCCCTCGTTGCGTTACCATGTGGCCAGTAGAGGAGAATCCAATTCTTGTTCGCCCTGCTGCGTTGCCTCGAAACAAGTTAAGATAGAGTGTTAGTTATGCCCCCCCCCGTGTTGTCACGTGACCAGTTTAACCATGTGTTTTTCCTCAACACTATCGTTGCCACGTGGCGGCTGTAGTAGATCAATTTTCTTTCCCGCCACTGTCGGTCAAGGAAAGGAGGACTCCTCTTGAGCCGCTGCTGGGGCGATGGAGTGCCTCAAAAGGAAGCGGGAGGGGCTGGCTGCCGGCCCGTGGTTGTGAGGGAAATGTGGAAGGGAGGGAATGAGGCAGCCAGGGGGAGGAGGGAGGGAGGGAGGGAGGGTGGGAGGGAGGGTGGAGTGATGGATGGAAGGAAGGAGGGAGGGAGGGAGGGAGGAGGAGGAGGCGGAGGAGGAGGGAGGATGGATGGAGGATGGAGGAGGGATGAGGCAGGAGGCAGGAGGCAGGAGGCAGGAGGCACGAGGCAGGAGGCAGGAGGAAGGAGGAAGGAGGAAGTAGGAAAGAGGGAGGAGGAAGGAGGAGGAAGGAAAGAGGACGGAGGAGGATGAGGTGGATGATGATGACGACGATGATGATGATGCTGCTGATGATGATGATGATGATGATGATGATGCTGATGATGATGATGATGCTGATGAATATGATGATGCTGCTAATGATGATGCTGTTGATGATGATTATGATGCTGTTGATGATTATGATGATGATTCTGATGAGGATGATGATTATGATGATGATGATTATGATGATGACGGTACTGATGCTGATGATGATGCTGATGCTGATGATGCTGATGATGATGCTGCTGCTGATGATGCTGACGATGATGCTGATGATGATGATGATGCTGATGCTGATGCTGATGATGATGATGATGATGCTGATTATGATGATGATGATGATGATGATGATGCTGATTATGATGATGCTGCTGCTGCTGATGATGATGATGATGCTGCTGCTGCTTATGATGATGATGCTGCTGCTGCTGATGATGATGATGATGATGCTGATGCTGATGCCGATGCTGCTGCTGCTGATGATGCTGCTGATGATGATGATGCTGATGCTGCTGCTGCTGATGATGCTGATGATGATGATGATGATGATGATGATGATGATGATGATGATGATGATGATGCTGCTGCTGCTGATGATGATGATGATGATGATGATGATGATGATGATGATGATGATGATGATGATGATGATGTGATGATGATGATGATGATGATGATGAGATGATGATGATGATGATGATGATGATGATGAGGAGAGGAGGAGGAGGAGGAGGAGGGAGGAGGAGGAGGAGGAGGAGGAGGAGCAGGAGAGGAGAGGAGAGGAGGAGGAGGAGGGAGGAGGAGGAGGAGGAGGAGGAGGAGGAGGAGGAGGTAGAGGAGGAGGGGAGGAGGAGGAGAGGGGAGGCGGAGGAGGGAGGAAAAGGAAGCCAGGGAGGGGAAGGAAGTCAGGGAGGGAAGGAGGAGGCGGAGGCGGAGGAGGAGGAGGGGGGGACGCGAAAGCTTGCAGACCACACTCCTGGGGCGCAGCGGCTGCCTACGACGCGCTGCTCGAGGTTTACAGGGAGCTCTTCGGGGCTGGACCCGCTGGCGCCCGCAGAGCGCGCGCACTGCGGCTTACCGCTCCGACTGGGCGGCCGAGGCCTCCGCAGCCAGGAGGAGCCTAAGATCGGTCGTTGTTAAACTGGAGGGTTCCACAGGGGGGGTTTGGGGAGGGGGTTTTCCAGGAGGGGTCCCCCAGGGGCTTCGCACCCCCTGTTTTGACGAGGTTCCGAGGCCCCTGGGGGGCTCTCTGGAAAACCTCCTCCCCCCACCCCCCCTTTGGAACCCTCTGGTTAAAATATGCAACATCGCGAGAAATCCCGACCAGAGCCCTAGACCCCATCACCCTGCGGCAGTTTTTGATCCGGATCGACTTGCGAGGGTCCCAGGCCCCGAAGCCAGACGGAATTTCGCGGTTCGGAAAAGCTGCGACGCCAAGATCTCAGGCGAGCTCGAGCCTGCTGCGTGGGCCGTTTCTTGGGCGCAGAGCCTCGCGAGCGTCCTGGAGCGCCTGTGGGGCTGGCGGAGCTGGAGGAACCAGGGACTTCCGCCCTGCCCGTCGCTGCGGCCTGCTGCAGGAGGCGAAGACGGGGCTGCTGCCAGGCCCGACGGACAGGGCCAGGCTGCCGTCGGGCCCAGAGAGACCGCTGCTCCCTTGGTGGCGGCTCGCCCAAGAAACTTAGGAAAGTATCCAAGGGAGACTCACGCGCAGGCTGGGTTCAAAACGCAACAGCGCTTTGCTGAGATACTGCGGGACGGGCGCTGCTCTGGCCTTGGGGGTGCCGCGCCAGGGGGGGTGCCGCGCGCAGGGGATTGGCAGCTGGCGAACGGCGGGCCGGGCCAGCGGTTGCTTGACCCAGACTACCTTGCCACCGCCCCGGCGCTGCTGGCCAGGATTGCGCGCCCGCCGGCAGTCGCTGGTGCGATTGCATGCGAATTGGCGAACGGGCGGGACAGCCTTGCGGCCTGCCGCTCTGCTGGAAGGCGCGGCGCGCCCTTCTCTGTTTTTGCACGGGCGGCAAGAATGCGCAGAGCCAGGATGTCGAGGATCTGCGGGGCCGCACCCGCCAGGCGGCCCGACAGGTCCCGGTCCCAGCCTGGGACCTGTCGGTTTGGCGCAGCGCCGCGGCCTGCCGCGCCGCGCGTGGCTGATTATGCAGACGCGTCGTCTTGCGGGCCTTGCAGCGCCTGCGGGGGCCCGCTCGATGCCGACCTCGAAGCGCATCGCGGCGACTGCCCCTGGATGCTTGCCGGACGTCGATGTTGGGCGTCCGAGGGGACGCGCGCACCCTGGCCGCGGCCGCGAACGGCGCTGGTGCCGTGGCTGACGCGGACAAGCGTCGCCGTTACCCCGAGCGCCGGGCCCCCTGGCCAGTTCCGCCCTTGGCCCGCGAGTTAGTTGTCTGGTCGGGCATCGCGGCGTGGCGCCACTTGCTCTGGCTTGCGCGGCGCCGCGCGCATTGCCTAAACTGCGACCCCAAGGCCGAGGCGGCCGCGAGCGCGCTGGCGCGCCACTGGGTCGCGGAGCTGAGCTGTGCGTTGTGCGTCGCCACAGCACGGCAGCTGCACGGCTATTTCGGCCGGGAACGCGCGTTCGCGGCCCATGCCGCGCTGGCGGCCGAGTTGACCAACTAGCTAGCTGGGCGTCGCGGGCCGGGCGTGAGGCGCGCGCGGACTTGGTGCTCCACTGGGTCGTCGTCCTGCAATTCCGCTTCGTCTCGTTCGCCGAGGAGCTCAGGGTGTGCGGCTGCGCGACGAACCGCGCTTACCACCAGGATGACCAGGGTAGAGAGGAGGGAGGGAGGGAGGGAGGGAGGGAGGGAGGGGAAAGGAGGGATAGGTTGGAGCAGGAGGCCCCCGCCACGGCTCTGCCCCCAGCTTTGGGCCAGAGGCACGCCTGGCTGCCGGCCCGTCCTCGCGCGACCGTACCTCGCGGGCGGCTGCGGCGGCTGCGGCGGCTGCGGGGCCCGCCGCCCCCAGGGGAGGGGGGGGGCGACGGATCGGTGGACGTCAGCTGGATGGCGCAGGGCCTTGACCCTCGCATCCCCGCGTCGTGATTAAATCACGGCAGGAGTTTTTTGATAGTTTTGGGGCCCCACGGGCCTTCGCCAGGCCCCCAGGCCGTCATAACGATGCAGGGGGGCGGGCTGGTCCTGAGGAGGCGGTCTGGACTTGTGGGGGGCGGGTTCATGGGCCCTTGCATCCTTACCGTTCAGTCCTGTGATCTTGTCGTGATCTTGTCGGCAAAAGGGTGTAGACTTTGTTTGGCTGCGGCTTTCACTGGGTGGAGTTGTGCTCACAGAGGAGGCTGTGGCATCGCTCGGCGATGTGCCATTTACGGGGCGGGCAAGGTTGGTCTTTTCCGGTTTTGTGCGCCTCAGCTTTGGTTTCGGTTTTAGCTGCAGGTGAGCTTTGGAACGGCACTGGGCCAGCTTGCCCCAGTCAGTTCTCTGTTCGCATGGGTGCCTCCAATTTCCCATATAAGCCGAACTGATCTAGTTTTGGTTGTTGGCAACATATTCGGCTCCTGGAGGCCACTGTCGTGCCCCAGGATTTGTAGTATACAGGGTTGTGGCGGATGTCAGAGGGAAAGTTCTCTCAGCGCTGATTGAGAAACCGTAGCGAAAATCAACCAAGGGTTTTGGGTACGAAATGTTCGCAGAACATTCAGTGAAAAACAGGGCAGGCGAAACAGCAGAGAGCAGGAACTTATCGCCGAGGAGGTAGCTGGAATTACACTCTTTCTGTGCGGCGTTCGCGGCGCCGAGAGCGTCAGGGCATTCAGTGCCGACGCAGACACTGGCTGCATTAGGCGGACAGGACAGCGCACAAACGGCACGCTCGGCTTGCCACTAGGCTCCGCGGCGCGTCATCTCGCATGGATTCCAGTGGACTGGGGAAGGTGTGAATGGCCGTGGGCTGGTGCAATAATAGGGCTTGCTGTTATGTGGGCGTAGAGAAGGCTTCATCGAGCGTAGATCCTTCTGAGCAGCAGAAGTGTGGACTCTCGGGCACTGTGATGGGCTTGGATCGTTCTGGGTAGAAGCAACGCAGACTTACGTGGGCTTGGCTCTGGTAGTTTGCTCTTGCCACCAGATCCGCTCAATCTGCTTCTGGCTGCTTCAATCCCTTCGGTAATGTAGCGCCAGCTGGATTCTAGGTCGAATTTGATGTAAAACGATCCGGCCACCATCTCTGTAACATTTGAGCTGTAAAACGAATGTGCTCGGCGCACAGGAGAGAGACGCATTTTGAGAACAACAAGCCCTCCTTCCATGTAGTTGTGGAAACTTTTAAGACGACTGTGCTCGGCGCTGATGGGAGAGCCGCATATTGAGAAAAACTCGCCCGCCATCTTTGCAGCTGCGCGGCTCAGCTCCAGAATACGAAATTGTACAAGTGTCTTGAGGGAAACGCCCAGTCTCGCCTGCGGACACGTCTGGTGGTGCGGCAGTGGTGGAGATGGAGAAGGGCGAAGATGATGATCGGGAGGACGAGGAGGCGGATGAGCAGGAGGATGAGGAGGAGGAAAAGGAGGGAGATGAGAAGGATGATGATGTGGAAGAGGAGGATGAGGATACAGAGGGTGAGGATGCGTAGGATGATGATGAAGATGATGCTGATGATGATGTCACTGATGATGATGATGATGGCAATGACGATGCTGATGATGCTGATGATGCTGATGCTGATGATGCTGATGGCGAGGATGATAATGATAATGATGATAATGAGAAATGATGATGGTGATATTGATGACGATGATGATGCTGTTGCAGATGATGACGATGACGATTATGATGGTCATGACGATGATGATGATGATGCTGATTACCCCGACGATGAAGCTGATGATGATGAGTTGATGATGATGCTGATGACAATGATGATGGTGATGATGATGCAGATGATGATGATGCTGATGATGATTGTTATGACTACGATGCTGATGCTGATGATGTTGATGATGATTCTGACGATGACGATGATGATGATGATGATGATGATGATGATGATGATGATGATGATGATGATACTGATAAGGATGATGATGATGATGATGCTGATGATAATGATGATGATGATGCTGATGCTGCTCATAGTATGGTGATGCTGATGATGACGATGGTGATGAGGATCATGCTGCTGATGATGACGGTGCTGATGATGATGCTGATGATGATGATAATTATGATGCTGATCAAGATGCTGCTGATGATGATAATGATTATGACGATGATGTTGATGATGATGCTGATGCTGATGATGATAATGACTATGATGATGATGATGATGATGATGATGATGATGATGATGATGATGATGATGATGATGATGACAATGACGATGATGATGACACTGACGATGCTGATGATGCTGATGATGATGATGCTAATGCTGATGATGATGCTGATGAGGTTGATGCTGTTGATGATGTTGATGATACTGATGACGATGATGATGCTGATCATGATGCAGCTGCTGCTGATGATGATGATATTGCTGCTGATGGTGATGCTGATGCTGATGCTGATGATGATGATGATGATGATGATGATGATGATGATGATGATGATGATGATGATAGTGCTGATGATGATGATGATGATGCTCATAAAATGATGATGCTGAGGATGATGATGATGATGATGATGATGATGATGATGATGATGATGATGATGATGATGATGATGATCATGATGACGCTGATGATGATAATGATGTTGAGGATAATGATGAATCTGATGATGATGCTGCTGCTGATAATGATGCTGCTGATGAGGATGATGATGGTGATGATGATGCTGATACTGACGATGATGCTGATGATACTGATGATGACGACGATGCTGATGCTGCTGCTGATGCTGATGATGATGAGGAGGAGGAGGATGTGGGTGAGGACGAGGATGAGGATGATTAGGTGGATGATGATGATGCTGATGATGATGCTGCTGCTGATGATGATGATGCTGATGATGATGATGCTGATGCTGATGATGATGATGATGCTGATAGTGGTGATGATGATGAAGATGATGATGATGAGTATGGTGGTGATGCTGACGGTGCTGATGCTGATGCTGATGATGATGCTGATGCTGATGATGATGATGCTGATGATGATGATCCTGATGATGATGAGGATGATGATGATGATGGTGGTGGTGGTGATGATGAAGTCGTTACCATGCGCTCCCTGCCGCCGTCGATGTATGTATAACCACATGCGCAGACACATGCTTGGCTGTCTGCAGCTACTTGTGGTTCGGAGAGGAAAAAGGCCCGCGCCCGCCCCGCGCGCGCGTGCTCATACCGTATACTTTCCTCACCCACAGCTTAACGGGATACACATATCCTTTTACATTCCACGATGTCCATTAACCCGCTAGCATGGACCCCAACAGTGAGAACTACCTTACTTGAAGATATTCGCCCGGTTGGGCCTAAGTTGGGTAAATATGGGTTATAAGCCGAAAGCTCTGGGCTATGGACAGTCGACGATGTCGATAAAGATGGGGCAAGTGCGAATACCTCCGTGAACGTGGAGAAGAACACGGGGGGAAAGACCAGGAAATGTTTAAGGATCGAGTCGACGGACCGACTAAGTCGACCTCATATCGCATCCGAGAGACAAACACAAGTATGTTGGAGAAGATCATCTCGCCCGAGAGACCAATATCACCCGCGGAGGAGGATGATAAGGCCAATGAGAAGCTGATCAAGAAAAACCCCTTCTCAAATATACGAACGCCGTCTCCAGCAGGCGAGCCGTCGGGATATGGCGATGCCCCTGTCAATCGAGGGCGAGAGGACACCCCTGTTCCAGACGATGGTATCGACGAAGAGGACGATTGGTATGGGGGAAAGCCCTGCCCGCGCAACCCGCTGATGGGGGGCGTCGATCAGGCCTGCGTCGTGAACTCCAGCTCATCGGACGAGGGCGAAGACTGGGAACGTCGCCGCGCCGGTGAAGGCGATGACAATATCAAGCTCGTCCGAGAAGGGCTCTGGATCGGCATCTGTACGGGCTATGTCCGGAGACAGAGGAGGTCGCAGAGCCCGGGGGGCAGTGTCGAGCGTCAAAGGGACCTTGCGGCCTCGTCCGGGGGGTCTGGAATAGAGATTCGTCGCGGAAAAACCCCTGGGGGCGACCTGGTGGACGTAAAACAGCCCCCGTGCGAAAAGCGCCCAAAGACCGAGCCTGGCGGCTCGAGTGGCCCAGAGGATTCCGAGCCAGTCCCTGATCTGAAACCTCGTGGAAGACAATTATTCGAGTCACCCGGCTCGATTTCCAGGAGGTCGAGGTCGGGGAAGGGCGGTCGAAGTCGCAATTCACAAGGATCCGTTCGCGGGTCATCTTTGCCCAGATCATCGGCGTCTCGATTTTCGATTAAGGAGTCATGTGCGAATCGCGGGCCGACGTGCGAGCTGGGCCCCGAGAATCGGTGCCCGGGCAGGGCCGCCGATGGTCTACCATGTCAGGAACCCGTGTGCCGGGGCTGCTCTGTCCAGTGTGGCCTGTGCAATCTTGCGCGTCTTTGCCAGGAATGCCTGGCGCCGAGGCAACGCGCTTATTTTGCGCATGAACACCGAGTGGGGGCTGCAACAGGAAATGAGGCAAGGCCAACTTGAGCAGGGGCGCGTTTCCGAAATAGCGGCAATGCGCACGATGATGGCAGACGTGGAGGCAAGGCAGAGAGCGCAGAATGAACTGGTGGCACAGCGCCGAACACGAGCTTAATGCAATTCTCAAAAGGGAGAATGAGCAGAAGGATGCCCTCTATGAGGCTGCATTATAAGCAGATAAAGAAGCCAAGGGGCGGCGAAGGGCTGAACAGGCTATCGCGGAACAGGCCCGACAAGCACTCCGTGGGGCGCAGGGCCGAGAAGCGAACAGGTTCGCGCCGGGCTCCGCGAGGCAACCATGGCGCAGGAACGGTCTGTTCCCGAGGTGGAACAGA